GTGGTAGTATAGGGACGGGAGGGAAGGGAACGAAAGCGAAGGGAAGGGAAGGGAATTAGGGAAGGGAAGGGAAGGGAAGGGAAGGGAAGCGAATTAGGGAAGGGAAAGGAAACGAAAGGAAAGGGAAGGGAAGGGAAGGAAGCAAGGGCAGGAAGCAAGAAAAGGAAGAACCGAAGGAAGATTAAAGGAGCGGCAGGAGGAGGCAGGGAAGGAAGGGGGAAGGCAGGAACGGAGGACAGGAAAGAAAAAAGAGAGGAAGCAAGGCAGAAGCGGAGGAAATGAGGAAAGGTGGAAGGAAGGAAGGAAGGAAGGAAGCAAGGAAGCAAAGGAAAGCAGAGAAGCAAGAAGAAGCAAGAAGAAGCAACGAAGAAGCAACGAAGAAGGGGAGGAACACGCACGGGAACCCGAAACACCGTACGGGAACCACAAACACCGCCATGCCGTCCCCGCTGGGAACCGGAAACACCATCCCGGGAACTGAAAACACTGACGGGCGCCCAACACACCATTCCGGGAACATCAAGCCCGAATCTGGGAACTGAAAACACCCCAGCCCGGGAACTGAAAACACCCTGGGAACCACCAAACCCTCCCGGGAACCGAAAACACCATCCCGGGAAAAAAAAACACCACGGGAACCAGAAACACCTTTCCGGCAACCAGAAACCCGGAGCCCCTCCCAGGCTAAGCTCAAGCCTGGCTAGCCGATTTCCCATTTCATAAGGAACTTGGGTTTTTGATGGTTTTTGTGTGTTTTGGGAGTTGTGTCTGGTTCATGCTCGACTACATCATTACCTTCCAACTTGGATACAGCTTCGACAAGGTCTACCCGGTAGGAATTGCCAAATGTTTAAGTTAAAACCCTGCAGAACAAACTGCGCACGATTCGACGCGACCAATTTGGAACCAGCTCCAGTTCTTAAAACCAGTCCAGTGTGTGTGTGTGTATGTGTAAAAGCTTCTCTCTCTAAAGGTGTTTTGTGTAAAGGCTTCTCTGAGTAAAAGCTTCTGTGTTTTTATAAAAGCTTCTATTTGTCAAAGTTTCTTTGTGCAAAAGCTTCTGTGATCTTCTGCGCGTAAAGGCCCTAAGGTTTCTGTATGTTAAAGCGCTTGTGTGTAAAACTTCTTTCTGTAAAAGCTTCTCTGTGTAAAGGCATTTGTGTGCAAAAGTTTCTGTGTGGAAGTGGTTGTGTCTAAAAGTTGGTCTGTATAACGGCTTCACTGTGTAAAACCTACCATGCGTAACCTCTCTAGATTCTAGATGTGTCTAGAGTCTAAAAGCTTCTACGGGTATTTTTTCTGTGTGTAAAAACAGTTGTGTGCAAACAACTTCCTTTGTGCAAAGGCTTCTCTGTGTGGAAAAAAACTCCGTGTGAAAGGTTCTGTGTGTGTAACAACATTTGTGTGTAAATGCTGTTCTGTGTGAAATGCTCCGTGGGCGAAAGCAATTTGTGTAAAAGCTGCTTTGTGCAAAGGATCCTCTGTGCAAAAGCTCCAGTTTGTAAAGGCATTGCATGCAAAGGCTTCTTGGAGAAACTGTGTTTTTGTGAAAACGCATCTGTGTGTGAAGGCTCCTGTGTGCAAAAGTGTTTGTGTGTACAAGCTGATCTGTGCAAATGCTTCTCTGTGCAAAAGCCTTTGTGTCAAGCTGCCCTGTGTAAAGGATGCTTTGTGAAAGAGCATTTGTGTGTGTATATAAATGTTTCTGTGTGTGAAAGCGTTTGTGTGTAATTTGTTTCTGTGTAAAAGCTTCTGTGTGTGTAAAAACTTCTGTGTGTGTAAAAACCTCCGTGTGTAAAAACTGCTCTGGGTACAGGCTTCTCTGTGTATTAAAAACCTTCCGGGTGTAAAGGCTTCTCTGTGTAAAGGCCGCTGTGTTCAATAACTTCCATGTGTAAAATCTTCTGTGTGTAAAGACATTCTCATATCTCATTTGATTATGACTGTTACTCAGGTGCCAGCCTTGGAGCAAACCTCCTGTGGGGGCAAAAAAGGGTCAAACTGTGGACATCTATGAAATTTGACCTGTGTCAGCTATCAATCTGTCCTATTTTCATCGCATGTAATTTGTATCATCATCACCATCATGACCATCATGACCATCATTCATCATCATATGTTCTTGTGTATTATCTTCTCGTGTCCTCACTCCTGCTTTCTTTCGAACCACCAAGAATCGTGTAGTGTCCTAAACCCACGTTTCCGGCTTGTATAATCTTCAGTGATGATTACATCATCACATTTTCTTGTGTTTTGCGTCTACAGTTTTCATTAATCATTTTAGATCCTTTTTTTTGTTGAAGCGCTACCATACACATGCCTTAAACTGCTGTTGGGAATATGGGAATATGATATTTAATATCGTTGGTTGTAACTCCCACTGTATCCCAGTATGTCCTCATGATATCCCCGTTTATCCCCATCACATTATCCCTATAGATCTTGATTGTTGGTTTATCCCACCATTTAGCCAGTTCAATCCCATGAACAACAAAAACAGGTGCAATGCAAAACTTCGCTTCTGCTTTCACGACCGGCGTCATGGGCTGCATCGGGGCTGCCATGCTGGTGATGTTCATCGTGGCGGTTTCTGCTCTGGTGCACCGGGCTGCCATGGGCGGGGCCACGGAGTATGCCGTCTTCAACCTGGGCAGCTTGGTCCGATCTGGATTTGGATTAAGAGATCTTATGAGTGGTTAGAAGGCCATATATAAACCACACACACATATATATATATATATATATGTGTGTGTGTGTGTACCAGATGTGTGTATATAAAATATTATACATGATAGACTAATATGTATATAATATGTGTATATATATAAATATGTATTCATTTATTTATGCACATGCAAGGTGCCCTGGATCGTGACTTGGATGGGTTTCCATGATCACAAACTTAAGAATGCATCCCAGATCGTAGGGTATTAGTTTGTAAGGGTTGGTCCGTTCATGATTTTCAGGAATGCCTACCTGATCTCAGAAATGCCTAGGTGATTTGAAAATGACATAGGCATTTCTGAAATTTAGGTAGGCTAATCTGAAATTTGGTAGACTAATTTGTTGTCCAGAACGTTGTGCAAACAAATGTGGTTTCATATTTTTTTACAAAATATTTAAAAAAAACAGAATATTTTCAAAAAGATAAAATCTAAAATATGGTAAAACGTTGATTGAACGTTTACCTGCGGTTGTGTTATTATTGTGAAGACCTCACCTGCGTGAATTGAATCATGTCGTTGCTTCGATCATGTGTGTGACTTGTGTCAATTTTGTCAATTGAACCGGTCAATTCTGTCAAAAATTTAATTTTTAAAAAAATGTCAAAAATTTTTTAAAAAAATAAATAAAAAATCACTAGGCAAGAAATCATGCCATGCCCAACATGCTTTGACCCAAGCATGCAGAAACACAAATCGACAATTGTCCAAGTGGGCAAAAGAATGAAGATGAGAAGCTGAACTCAATTAGTCAGTCAGTCAATTGTTTCAAGTGCCACAATCATAATCAGCTGAAGTCAATTGATCCAATTGCCACTTCTCGCCGAGCCTTGCAAGCAAGTTATTAAGAATTACTTTTGAAAACATTTAAAATGCAAACAGGACCAGCAACAAACAGTAGGCAGGCCTAGAGCGTCATCCAGACCTGATCCTGGGTCTTGCTTTGGGAATGCGAATGGGAAGTGATATTAATAATAAATGTCAAAGAAGTCAAGCATGCCTGCATTGAACTCTTGAAGGTAGCGGAGCAAGCTTGGTAGCGGAGCAGAACAATTCCAACCTCAGTACACATATTTGAAGTATTTCAAAAAGCCAAAGGGCTAATGAGTCAATTAAATTGACTGAAGCACATGAGATGGCAACGCTGAACTTGCAGTGCTCTGTCACTGATTGCGCATTTTTTTTGCTGGAGCAAATGCCATGTTGCCTCTTGACCCCACAGAGACAGTCAAAGTTGACCGAGGGACGCACCACTCAAAGTCAGAACCCTTGGGCTATAGTACTCTTGTCGCATTCAAGACACTGACTGACAGTTTGAATGGACAACACTGAGCAAATTGAGCGTTGTGAAGTTTTCACGAAGCTCGAATCTGCTCGTAGATTTGGGCGACACAAGCGCCAAACTCTGGCGTGTAGTGCTCGCTTTCGATGAGCATCTCCTTATTGCCAGTGTAAGTGTGGCTTCCATCCCAGCTCTGGCCACTGGAAGCCAAATTGTCCAAGCCATCTGGCCTTGGCCTGGCGATGGCTGCAAATAGGGAGCCAGGCCCTGAAGACGGATGCCAGATCTGGAGAGGCTTGCTTGTTGGGCCAGCAAAGCTTCCCATGTAGGTCACTGTCTTCTTGAAGTCGAAGAACCACAAAACATTACGAAGGGATGGTAGTTTTGGAAGCACACTCCCTGTGGGTTGCTCCAACACCGGAATGCAATCCAAGAGGAAACTGAAGAACATCATCATTGCAGTTACTTCCTGTTGAAGGTTGCCCTGCTCCACCCATGGCCTGCTTCTATCCCCGTAGAATGAATTCTCCTCGTATCTCATGCTTTGAGAGATACAGAGCGGGACGAAGCTCGAGCATCTGGTAGCAAACCAGTGTAACGACTTTCGCCGAGAAGCCACTACCATGTCAAACCAAGTCCTCAGCCCCTTGGAACTCAACATGTCATGGTGGGGATGAAAAAGAATTTCCACAGAAGCTCCTTGGTGAAATCCTTGACGCAGCATCTCTCGACTGAGATGGGCTCGGCCAGCACAAAACTCAACAAATTCCAATTGATCCAATTCATTGAAATTGACCAAATTGAAAAGAAACCTTTCAGCAACCAGCACCATCATCTCCAAGCACGATGTTGCGCCGCGCAAAAAAGGATATGCTTCACACAAAAATGAAGGCCACACTTTCGAGGCCCTGCCGCCATTCTCTTGGTCAAAATCAAGAAAGTCTTGACATGTGGACTTGACATGATGCAGTCCTTCTGGTCAGTCGACACGCCTGCAGGGCAATTAACAAAATGGACTTCGAGGTTATTCATTGATCATCAAAGAATGATTCAATTTCAATTTCGATGCATGTTGTCTCAATTTTCCAAGAACAAAAACAGCATCAGCGCCTATTGAATTTGCTGCAGGCCAAGAAATCATAGAAATCTAACGAAGAAATCTGTTGGAGCTTGTCATCCAGCCATTTCTCTTGATCGTCATCTTCTGAAGCTGCACTTGGGCCTTGAAGGCTGGCACTGGCTGTCACAGTGGACAGCACCATCACCGGAAGAAACGCGAGGCCAGCTTGCTGGTCCATGATGAACAAATTGACACAAATGACCAAAATGGCAAAACCAACAAATGTGCTCATGGGCCAAAAAACCTGCGGTAAAAGAATTAATCCAGTCCACAATTTTGTTTGGTTTCTTCACTGACAAGAATACCAGTCCAAGGCTTCTGACCATGCGTATAAAAGTAAAGGCTTCCTGAGTCCTTGGCCTGATGATGAATCTGGCAGCCTGCATTGGCATTGAAAGACCATCCCGGCACAAACTTCAAGCTTCAATACCACTGGCCACTACACAAATCAATCTGGTTCAAGTCAATTGAGTCAATTCGCACTGACACATGACAAGCAGGCCCCAACATTTGACAAAGCATTGAAAAATACCATCCAGGTGCAACCCTCAGGCTATAATACCACACAAATCAATCAATTGAGTCAATTCACAATAAACACAAGCAGACCCCAACATGTGACAGGATTATTTGATTCCTTTTTAAACAGAGCATCTTCTTGCGATTTTGCAAGTGCATCAGGTGAAGGACTTGCTTCAACCAGAGCGTCTTACCAAGGCCCTAAGGCGATGACTTTGTCATCCCAGCGCTCTTCTACTTTCTCCTGTTATTATAATTCCTAGGAGGTGGCAGCGCACTCATCTCATCCTTGAGGCCTTCAAAAACTTCATCTGGGACTTCTCCTGGAATTTGATCTCGGATTCCAGGCCCCAATTCCAACCCAGCCAAGACAAACTTTTCCCACATCCAAGTGTGCACTTCTTGAAGTGCGGTTTTCCAGTCACCTGTTGCTTTGAAACTTCTGGAATAATACATTTGTCTCTGGGTTGAATCCCACAGCTCATGTTGGACCGTTCTATTCTTGTCCATCTCGACTTGAAACCTGTGCGCATTCTTGTCAAGCCTCAACTTGAACCAACTGTTGGGCTCAATGCTTCTGAGGAGGGCAGGTGTTGAGTGCACTCGAGGCCCGACATCTCTGCCAGGCACAGGCGCTGGCCGAGCTGGCTCAGCCGGTTGAGCCGGGGGTGCAAGTTCAGCAGCAGGAGCTGCTGCTTCAGCAAGTTCAGCAGCAGGAGCTGCTGCTTCAGCAAGTTCAGCAGGAGGAGCTCCTTCAGCAACTTCAGCAGGAGAAGCTCCTTCAGCAACTTCAGCAGCAGGAGCTGCTTCTTCGGCAAGTTCAGCAGGAGGAGCTGCTGCTTCAGCAAGTTCAGCAGGAGGAGCTCCTTCAGCAACTTCAGAAGGAGAAGCTCCTTCAGCAACTTCAGCAGCAGGAGCTGCTTCTTCGGCAAGTTCAGCAGGAGGAGCTGCTTCCTCAGCAAGTTCAGCTGCTGCTTCAGCACGTTCAGTTTCGTTTGCTTCACCTGGAGAAGGATTTGGCAGTGGGTCCTCCACATCTGAATTGACGCAATTGCCTGAATTGACAAAATTGACTTGAGCTTCTTCTTCCTCCAAATCCTCTTCGTCTTCCATCTTCACAGCATCGCTTGCTTCCTTGCCTGGTCGCTCGTCATCTTCTTCAGCTTCCCTCTTCCTTTTTCTTCCGCTACTGCTTGCAGCCCCTTTTCCTGAGCCTCGGCCACTTCTTCCTTTGCCTTTGCTTCTTCCCTTCACCTTCCCTTTGGCTTTGGATTTGCCTTTGCCTTTGGCAGCCTTCTTCTTGGCTTTTTCCTGGAAATGGAAAAAACGTAGATGCAATAACATGCCTGTCTTGGAAAAAAAATGAAAAATTGAAATGCAGCTGGAACAAACTAGCCAGACCAGCTTAAACATTTTCATCCAAGTTGCTGCTTGCTCCTCCATTTTTTCGTTGAGCAATTTGCGCCACTTCAATTGCTTCTGAGTTTTCTCCTCCCTGTAGACATTCTCCTTGACAGAGCGAAACTCCTTCTGCTCATCCGCGTCCAAGTGGTCAAACACAGCTTTTACCAAAGCTGCTTGATCTGGATCAGATGATGACTTCTTTGTCGTCTTAGAGTCGCACTCCAAGACCAGCTCTGCAAAATCATCTCCGAAATGCAACGCCAGCTTCAAAAGGATGTCCTTCCTAGACTTCTCTTTGATTTCGGAGCCAAAAAGATGCCTCCCCATCAAGCAAAGATCTGTGAATGTCAGGCCATTGGAGCGCCGCAAGCAATTCTGCGCAAATGTTTCAGGAGGCCCAACCTGTTGCCAGTGGATGCCAAACTCATTGCTCCAGACTAGCTTTGTTTGAAAAGCTGGCATGTTCAGAGAGCATTGCAGCCATTGACAACTTGACGACGAATCCAAAACCCATCGCATCATGCGATAATCATCATCAGCAGCGTCCACAAGCTTCAACGGCCAAGCAAGGGCTTGCCACTTCAAATTGCCCAAAATGAGTAGATAGACAAAATTGACTTCAATCACTTGCCCTTGAAAAGCAAGGCGGTTC